AGTTCTGGCTTCATACCCACAAGATGTCAGGCCTGTGGTTAAACATCCTCAGGGGAGGCTTTTCTTGCCTGCAGCCCCATCTGGAGCCGAGGTTAAGGCCGACTTGATCCGCACTGGCTGCCTGTGCGGGCAGTTGCTTTCCCCTGGGACTGCACCGAGATGTCGCCATTCCAGCCCCAGCGTGTTACACAGCGTTTGCACACGTATACATCCCTAGTGGTCTGTTTGCTGGAATGTTTGTTGATTCTAGATCAGGGGCTTCTTTCCCAACATTTGCTTGAACTTAATCTGTGGAAATCCGAGTGACCTAAATTCAAGTTCTTATTTTCAAGAGAGGATTTGCTTTTAAAACTTCTGCTGGGAACCTGGGGACCACTTGAACCCTGCCCTGGGGGGCCGCGGTAACTGTGGAGCTGCCCAAGTCAGTCTTCCTGCCGCTCTTTCCCACTCGTGGTGAGTTTGGGCTCTTGTCCATCATGAGAGTAAACGTTTGCTCTAGGGAAGCCCCGGCTTTCTTGATTGTGCGCCGCTCACATTTCAGAGTAGGTCCCTGTATTATTTAATTTGACATTTGTGCATGTGGAGTTCTTTTTGTACATGTGTGTCCATGTGGGTCTCTGAGAGTCCCCTTGGTCCAGGGAACCCAGCAACGGCTAGAACGTATGTTGCTGTACTTCACGCGGGACCTTTTGCAGGACAGGCAGAAGGATGCCTTCCGGATGTCTTCCCTGCCGCCTGCTGGAAGTGGACGCGTCTTTCCTCCGGTGGTTGGTTTTGGGCAGGAGTGCTGTTCTTGCGCTAGGGCTGCGTGGACAGTCGCATTATTTCCACCTGCCTCTTCTCATGGATGGCTAGAGAATTCTCAGGGAAATCCTAGAAAGGATGACTTCGCCCTCAGTGACAGCCTCCAGGCCTAAAGCCTTCAGTGCCAGAGAGAACCCTAGTCCCAAGTGAAAGATGGAGGTGTCACATGCTGACTAGACCATAATGGAACGAGAACTGGTGGAGGAAACAGCAAGTTGGCTGTGTCTAATCAGAAGCTGTACCTTAGCTTGTTAGTTGCAGGCATTGCTCATTCTTGGCCTGAACTAATGTGCTCTCTCACCTCTATTTGATGAGAGAATGAATACCAGGTGTTCATTTGAGATTACTAAAATGTGGTTTCGTTGCAGCCTAGCAAAATCAGGTGGCTTTAATTTATGCTAGCATGATAGCTTTGAGTATTGTTACATGTAAATTCAGTTAAACTGAAAAATTTTAGGCATTTCAAATGTTGCCTCTGTTCATGTTCGTGAAGGCTGTTGGCGGAGGTGGTTAGAAGTTTACCTTCCAAAATGCTCGGGAGGGCTGGGTGCTTCCTCCACGCATGGGGCTCCTGTAGTGACAACCTCTGCAGGGGGAGATGCTGACACCAAGTCAGTGCAGCTGGCCAGCACCAACATGCACAACATCGCGTCCTCATTAATAACTGAAGGAGTGTGTCCCTTCCTACTGAGTTTGTGTGTAGTTTATGGATTATGAGCCCGTACTAAAAATCTCAGGGAAAGTTCATTTTTATCGAGGGAGAAAGAGATACGTTTATATTTTAATTTGAACTCCCTGGAGTTACATCTGTGTGTCTGTTCTCATCCAGAAGTATTGCCAGTGGGTGTCTTGGTTTCCTGTCTTCATCATAGTAAATTTTCTTCTCCGAGGTAGATGTTTCAAATTCCTGCTTGAATTTCCTGCTTGAATCATCTGTGAGCGCTTGCTGGGCCACCTTGGGCAAGTCATGGGGCTCCCCAAGTTTCTGTTTGATCCAAGGTGGGAGTTGTGGCATCGCTCTTGGCACACAGTGTGAGCCCAGGTGGCAGCGTCTCTGACGCTGCATTGCATGGCATCGGAAGGAAATGACTTTCTTTTCTTTTCTCTTGTAATTCCAGCGATGTCTTTAAGAATGTCTCAGTTTGGTTCCCTCCTGTCTTTATCCAGTACCTCTCATAATAGTATGGAGCTAAAATGTTATATCATGGCTTTCATTCCAGTATATTTTTCCTTCTCCCCACCCCAAACTTATTTAAAAAAAAGTTTAAACCTGTGGAAAGGGGGAGGGGGCACAATAAACACCATATGCCTTTTGCCTAGATTCACTGAATTAGATTTTTTGCAACACTTGCCCTATTTCTCATTCCTTTGCTCTCCTGGTTCTCTCCCTCTCGTATGAGTTTAGAGAGGTATCATATTCTGCTTAGCTGAGCTAGTAAAGTCAGTCATACGCCCCATGTTATTGAAAAGTAAGGATACAGAACTGAAGTGATTTTTCTAAAAGCCTAACACAGCCCAGTTTACTCGTCCAAATGTGGGTTCACTCTGAAACTGTTTTATGCTAACTCAGTATACTCGTTACTGAATTAATTTTTAGACTTTACAGTAGTTACCTGAAACAGCAAAGATCAAGAGAGCCATTACAGGAGACTTTCATTTTCACTTGCTTTCATGACTATTAATAGCTACCTATACAATTAATTACATTAGCCAAGTTTCAAATTTGGTAACACCTCAAAGGAGTCTTTAACCAGCCGCTTTTACATTACCCAAGACAGAGACAAAAAACAGGAAGTGTGCAGAAAATAGATATCGCGGAAGCTGTTCCGCAAAGCTCAGGGGCCGTGTTTACAGGCAGGCCCCCGAAGAACCACCCTCTCAAGGGCGTCTTTGCTCTCACTGTGTGCTCCTTTCCTGTACGTCTCCTGAGCCAGAACAGCAAGACAGCAGCCCGCTCAGGGTAAGCATGTTGTAGCAGCACGCAATCTGACAAGAGGAGACCAAGTCGGAATCCCCCACAGCCATGAGAACTGTCCTGTGTGCTCAGGACTTTGCATTTTAATCGCCCTGCCCTGGGGGGTGGGGGGGCATGCTCTGAAGGTCACTAATAAACAATTCTGGGGCGTAAACTAATGTCTGTCTGTCTTACAAGCCAGGGTCTTTCTATAAGGACTTGGGCGAGGTGGCGTGGCCCTGGGATCATAGAGTACAGGACAGCCTGGGGCCCTTCCAGAATCTTCTAGGGTTTCATTGTGCAGATGCGCACGTTGTAACCGATGGTGTTGACTGTGGTGGTCTTGAGGCATCTAGCAAAGGTTGAATTTTAATACCAGCTGTCATGCATTTTGCTGGTGCACATGACTGTTCTGGTGCACGTCACCACCAGCATAAATTTAGCAGAACATCAAAAGAGGGGAGACCCCTTGACCTCACTCTCTGCTACACCATTTACAACAGGGGCTCTCCTTCCCTTTCACCTGCTGTCTGGGCTGCAGTCAGGGTCTTGCTGAGGCTTGAGGTCCATGGGGGTGGCAGGAGAAAAGGGGGAGAACTCGCAACTGTATCTCCTTGGCGGACCTGACCCCATAGCCTTTTCCACCACCCACATCCTTAGGAAGTATCGGATAAGGCACGTTGACGGATCTACAATCATCTTCCCGTGCTCTCTGCCACACAATGCCACCTGCTTCTCCCTTCTATCTGTCGTGTGTCCACTCTGTGCCTGGCACAGTGCTAGCCACTGAGGACTGGGCCCTGACTTACAGAGCTAATGCTGTAATGGGGAGCGCAGGCATGGAACAAGTCACTACAAGATGATAGTGGGAACTTCTCTCTACGGAGGGCGTAGACTTGGGGTTGCGTAGGTTGCGTTGCTCAGATCGCCTAGAAATGCATCATCAGGTGGATGAGCTTACACAAAACAGGGTTGGCATGGTGCAGTATAGCATCTCTTTCCTGCCCCTAACCTTCAGCCCTCATGTCCAACTTCAGAAGCCATGTGTTCACAGACCTTTCGCTTGTGCCCTCCTCTGTCCCCTCCAGCTCTAAGCGACCCCTCCCTCTCTGCTCACTGGCCCTTCTTGAACACCTGCGGAGTGCCAGGCGCCGTCAGAATTATGGCAGCCAGACAGAATCAGTGCCCACCCCAAGGAGTGTGCGGCCTCCCCAGGACTGAGATCAGTCACAGTTCTCGCTCTTCGGGCAGGTGCTGGGCCAGACACCTGCAGGCGTTCACTCACGTCCCTTTACCCGGTGACCCTGTGCAGTGGGTGTGCTTACCGTTCCCACTCAGGTCACGAGGATGCACAAAGGAGGTCAGCTCATCACTAGATGTAAAGAAATCATGAGAGACGTGATGAGTGCTCTCGAGCCCTGATGGGAACGTATAGCAGGGGACTGAGTCAGGGAAAGCAAGCTGGGGAGTCAGACTTAGGTTCCAGTCCTAGCTCTGCTCCTTTAAAGCTGTGTGACTTTGCATAAATCATTTAACTTCTCCAGATCCTTCCTCCGGGATCCATAAAACAAAGATGCTTACGTCCGCTTTCCAGAGTTAAACGCGGTCCCTTTGCAGACTTTGCACGGCGCCACGCAGGTGCTCCCCGTCTGCGATGTAATCGTGGCCTGCGTCTCTGACTGTCAGCGTCTTTGTGAGAGTGTCTGTATCCGATGCCAGCCCCCGTGCCTCCCGCAGGGCCCTCCCTCAGGCTGCGCGTTTATGTGGGGTGTTCAGTGAGTATTTGTGGAATCAATGAATGAGGTAACTCTCTTCCTCAATACCAGGTTCTGTCTTCTGACAAAGGGCTCCCAACGTAGCAGTTTAGAGGAGAGCGGGTATTTTCTCTGAAGTGCCCGGCCACCGTCTCCTGGAGTTGGCAGGCATGTGAAAGCCAGCGCAGCTTGATTTTGATGGTTTAATGTAAGAGACTGCGTTTCCACCGCTGTCACTTCAGAAGAGTGTTGTTTTGACATCTCAGAGGCACAGATTGAGGGGAAATGCCAGTGATGGGAAGACAGAGGTGTCAGGATTTAGGACCCTGTCTTCAAAGCAGAGCCACCTGCCGCCCACTGTTGGCACATTGCTGGATCGCACGTCAGAGGGCCTGATATGTGAACCCGGGGGCTGCGGGTGTCTCGTCATGGGGTCTAATCCGTGTCCTCTTTGTCTCCCATCCCTCCCCACTGCCCCTGTCCCACAGGAACGGCCTCGCCGGCTGCAGGACGCGGACTGAGAGCGAGCCGTCGTGCGGCTCCCCGGTGGTCAGCGGGGACCCCAAGGAGGACCACAACTACAGCAGCGCCAAGTCCTCCAACGCCCGGAGCGCCTCACCCGCCAGCGACTCGGTCTCCTCCTCTTCGGCCGACGACCACTACGAGTTCGCCACCAAGGGGAGCCAGGAGGGCAGTGAGGGCAGCGAGGGGGGCTTCCAGAGCCACGAGAGCCACAGCGAAACAGAGGAGGACGACAGGAAACACAGCCCCAAGGAGGCCAAGGATGCTCTCGGGGACAGCGGCTACGCGTCCCAGCACAAGAAGCGCCAGCACTTCGCAAAGGCCAGGAAGGTCCCCAGTGACACGCTTCCCCTCAAAAAAAGACGCACAGAAAAGCCCCCCGAGAGCGACGACGAGGAGATGAAAGAGGCGGCGGGGTCACTCCTGCACTTGGCAGGGATTCGGTCCTGTTTGAATAACATCACCAATCGGACGGCAAAGGGGCAGAAAGAGCAAAAGGAAACCACAAAAAATTAAAAACAAGTCACTGATTTGTTTTGAACTTAAGGCCATTTGGTTTCAGCATGTCAGGAGATTTCTAATGATTTGTGGCAATATCAGCAATTTCTTTATTTTTTTTCTTTTCTTTTTCTTTTTTTGGTTTGTTTTTCTTTCTTTTCTTTCCTCTTTTTTTTTTTTTAAATTCGCCCCCCTCCTTTGTTTTATACCCTTGAGAATTTTATTTTTAAAGGAGATTGAAGCCATAGAACTCATATTGACATTCAGCTGTTTTACAAAAGCTTTTCATTATCTGAAGACAAAACCGAAAAAGCCAAAATGACCATTGCTTCCTCCAGCTTGTCAGAAACACGTGGCTGAATCGCAGGGATGTCAGGAAAATGCCACAGAACACCCACTTTTGGCACCTAGAAGGCCCGTGTGCAAAGTCTTCATGGATCAGGCCCAGCCATTAGGTTTAAATGGTTAGGATGTCCGCCCGGTTGGGTTCACTGAGCGAATGTGCATGAGGCAACTGGGGAGAAGGAAGGCCCCTCGGCCCCTGGGAGCGGAGCCACGCTGGTGGCACCAGGCACCGCACTGTGCCAGGAAAACCCTTGGCATTGCCAGTCAGCATGCGGGCGCGGGGGCCGCCAGTCCTCTGAGCTTCTTAATCGTGAAGCCTCCTCACATCTCAGGAGGCAGACACCAGACCGTTCACGTACACTGGGTGTCAATGACTAAGGAAAAGAAATGGGGTCAATTCTTAGTGATTCCTAATCATTGAATTCTGTTCTATATTAAATTAAGAGAATGTTCCACAAGCCATAAGCCTGTAGGTTGGCCCTGCACACACGCACACACGCGAGATTGAGAGAGAGAGAGAGAAAGAGAGAGAGAGAGAAAACGTGCAGCGAACAGGCTGTGTTTTCTTAACTGCCTGAGTGAAAATCAAGTCCAGGAAATTACAATAGCTGTTAAGGAAGGAAATAATGGTACATAATCTTTTTCTGTCTGTCAAAACTATTTGATCTAAGTGAAAACAAACAAGCAAAGAGCTACGGAACCTGCCATTAGTATTGTGGTATATTTTTAAAAGATGAAAGGCACATTGATGGACAAAAAAAAAAGGAAAACATGGCAAAAAAACAAAAAAAACCTCCTATACTGCCCTCAAAATGGAGTTCGCAAATAACGTCAGTCAGGATTCATTTTTGCAACAATCAGTGATTTCCACATTCAGCCAGTGTAGCCAGCAGAAATTTCTGATCCACAATGCATGGATTCCTTCTAAAAGAAAAAAAAAGAAAAAAAATCACAAAAACACAAACTTTTTTTATTCAAAAATAAAGTTCTTGTAAGGTAAATAATGTATTTAGCATGAAGCATGAATTATTTTCATATAAATATAGAAAATAGAGAAAAGGCTATGCCTCTAATTTTTAAGCCCTTAGGCTTAGAGGTTCTTTGGGTTTTCTTCTTTTTTGTTTTCGTTTTCTTTAGTTTTGTTTTGTTTTTTTCCCAATTATTTTGTTTTGGTTTTTTGAAGCAGGTGTTTAAGGTTTAACCTTCTTCAGGGACAAATTCTGACTGTTGGGGAACTAACTCTGCAATATAAAAATATCTTCATGTTCCGGTAGGGCCTGCCTTGTCTGCACTTCAGCCCCAACCCCCTCTGATTCTCTGTTGAAAAGTGTGTCCTTTCTCTCTGTCTGGACATGTTTATCATGACGCAATAATTTGAGGGCAAACTTAGTAGTGAGTGTGTATGATAGAATCGAGAGAAGTATGGGACGCTGACTTGAGAAAACCATCACCACAATTTGGTCCTAGGAAAAAGGCAGTGAATAATTATGCAAATTCGCCAGGAGAAGGGAAACGCGCTAATGGGCCTTATTGGATGAGGGTGTGAGGTAGGGAACACGCGAAGGAGGAAGTGCCGCGGGTGTGGGAAGGACTGGCCCCACAGTCTTCCTGTGATGTCATCTCTCGGTGGGAAGGAGGGGCTGGCCAGCTCTACCACCTCAGCACACGAACCCACCTGCAGTTAAGCCCACCTAGAGTGTGAGAGCTGAATTTAGACAACAGGACAATGTCACGCAGCCCAGAAACTCCATTTACCTTTGCCTAACAGAAATTATTGGGGGAGATCCAAAGAGAAATCTCTAGAAAGATATTATTTTACACCCAAACGGGGGGTGGGGGGAATTGTATTGTTAATACACAAACAAAAACACCCACTCCTGTGGCTCAGGATGTGAAGGTGAAGGGGAGAGACGGAAGTGGGGCGATGATTTTTAGAAACAGACATGCGAGCCCCTGAGCCAGCACCGCCATCAGCAGGACGGTGGAAATGCACAGGTGCGTGCCCTGTGCTCACCTTCCTCCGGGCGACCCCCAAAATAATCTACACCCTGCACAGCTGGTGGAATCTGTTACCTGAACTCTTCCAGCTTGTTTGTTCAGGGTACGGATGTATTTTTGAAGTACTGTGTTCCCTCCAATGTCACCAAACATTTGACACCCCAAAAGCCATCCACAGCTCTGGAGCCTGAGGGACACTTGATTTGTGTTGTCACCGGATGAAGCCCAGGAAATCCCCCCATCACCCCCAAGATAAAGTTTGGACTTCCCTCTGAAAGGCAGAGTGAACACTGAGGACTGTTTCTGGCAGGGGACTTCTTCCAGTTAAAACCCCCACAGTGGGCTGTCTCCCCTCATTTCATTTTTCTAAAGGAGCAAAGACCTCTTTTAGAAAATAATAAAATGCAATGTGTGTGATTTACTTTTCTGATCTCTTTGAGAAATAGATAAATATCTTATAAAGTGTGTTCTTAACTCCAGAACCACTCTTTTTGCATAAATACCTCATTGGGCAGCTTTCTAAGTGTTATTTTCCCTGAGTCTCCCTCACTCAGCCCCGTCAGAGGGGCCCGGGGGAGACTTACAGGGGAAACTTTAGTGAGGGTACTTTTTTCTATTTTTCTTCTGTTTTTGGAGGCATACACATTATGCATAACCAAAACAATGGCTCAATTGTGTTTAACTTTGTATTTTGATTGTTGAGAAAAAAAATATCGATGTGTATGTGGCCGTTTGTAGTGAATTCATTGCAGAATGAGGTTGTCCGTGTCCTCACCAAGCCAGGGGGCAGGCGGCACCCTCTCCTACCCCCTCCTCCAAGAGCAGTAGAGAATTTAAGCACAAGCCTATTTGTGAGAGAATATTTTGTTCAAGTGTAATTCACTTTAGTCTTGGAATTCCTTCCCAAACGTCAGGTGTTCTTTTAGCTTCCAAACTAGCCTATGTATTCATTAGTCTGACAGGTCGCCTGAGCACCATTCAGGGGGTGTGGTGGTTTTGCTTTCATTTCTCCTGCGGGAGAGGTGGCTGTTTCGTGTGTCATTCCAGTATCTCACATACTCACGTGGGGCGGGGGGAGGGGGAACTGGGGAACTATAGCAATATTTAAAGATGCTTTGGAAAACAGCCGTGAACACTTCAGCACCATGACATCTACAATTACTTGCTGTCGGCCCTTGAACACATTTAAGAGAAAGAGGCTAGCTCTTTTTTCTTAAATGACATACACATAGACAGTTATTTTTATGCTACTACAGTTGTCTTTAATCTTTATCTAGTGCTACGTGGAAAGGGTTTGTTTGCATCATAGATTTTTCCCAGCCTTATAATATACCCTAAGCTCCTACTTCCCCTCCCCCCCAATCAGTCAGTATCCTTTCAAGAGTTCTTTGGTAGATCTGTCTATCTGAACCGGAAACAAACCGAACCCACATATGGAGGGTGGTTAGAGACAGCTGTGGCAGGCTTCAGTCTTGGGTGGGGCTGAGTTTTGAAGAAGGGATGTGTCCAAGGCCTTTTCTGAGAACTGATTTCTTGTAGACACCCTCAGCATGGGTGTGCCGGTAACCACCATGGGACATTCTGGAAGAGGCCATCTCCCGGAACGGTGTTCCTGCCTGAGGGACAACGTCAGGCTGCGGGCTCCGTAGAGTGAATACCGCTCGGGTGGCTTTTGTGCCCAGCTCCGTCCTAGGACACACCAGGACTGCTTGGCGCCCAGTTCTACGCCCCACGTCGCACATGTGGGTGCTTAGCCTCTCCTCGAAGGGCTCTTGGAGAAGGAATCCGAGCTACGTAAAAGTGACCTACACGGGAGGGTTTTCCATGTGGGACTGGTTTCAGTTCAATGTGACTTCTCTTTCCCTTTAAACTCAATTCAGGTTGGGAGTCTTTTTCTTTCTAGTGGATCACAGCTGCCCAGGTGTTGCGATTTAGTTTTATGTTTCTGTAGAAAAGTTTTTTTTTTTTTTCCTTTCATCTTCAGGATTTTTGCCACCAAAAGAACACATTTGAACTCTGTGTCCCCTCTTGATTGTGACTTACCAGTGTTGACAGTTAAATCCTTAGTGTCATAGGTCCCGGCCCTCCAGTACTATATCAAACACTGTTATGCACATAATGCAGCACTGTGATCTAATTTAAATAATACTTTTTTATTATTTATACTACTATATATAATATACATCAACACTTTTGCTATATAACCTAAGTGGATAACCCTCTCTTAGTTACCTGCCAAACTTGGGACTTTGGTTTATATTGCAGTTAACACAGTTACAAAGTTGTAATGGTGTCTTTTTTTCCCCTTTGTAACGGAATGTGTAAATCAAAGTGTATTCATTGTGTGGTGTTCCTGTTTCTGGAGTTTCACGAGGATTTACACATGGCACTCAGTGTTCTGTATAGACCTGCCTACCTTTGTGACTTCATTTGTTAACCCCCCTTCCTTTAAGAGAGCACCCGCGCTGGTGGGAACCCCCCATTTTCTCTCTCTCCCACTGGCCGTTCTTGAATTAAGCACAGACTCGTCAGCTCTGTTGCTTTATCGTGAAAAACGCGTGTGACCTTGCCATTCTTCCACATTTCCGCAAACAAGTGCTCGCTTCACTGACCAAAAATTAAGGAAGGAAAATGCGGTTTTTAAAACAATCCATCTTTTAACAGCCGAAACCGATGTGTCTATGGTGCTGGATCCTGCCGTCTGTCATACTTCTGAAATCAGACCTAGGTGAAAGATCACTTCTGACTTAACTGTGATGTGCTCACAAGTACCCTTCCTGTTCGTTTTTGTTAGCGTTGGAATCAAGACTATTTATTTGGGATATCTACCACAGTGTTGGCCACTGTGTTGCATTTGCAAAAGTGGAGAACGACCTTCCCTGCTTTTGCAAATAATTAATATTCCATATTGGATTCTCAAAGACTTCGATATGGTGAACCTATCAAACCTAGAAATTGTGTTTCATCCTTTCATTACTGTGGCCTGAGTTCCCCAAACCCTCTCCCCACCCCACCCATTTTCAGATGAAACTTAGCACCATTTCAGCTCTTTCAGCATTCAGCCTTCCCTGAGTACGTACGTTGGGGCCATCAAAGCTCATAGCTGATTCAGTAACCAGTTTCATGTCCTGTCATTCACGCTCACTACTGACACTGCCGTGGTGAAAATGGGGAGGGTAAGGTGTCCGTGTGTGTCCGGGAAGCATTCTACACTTGTGCATTTTTTTTTTTTTTAATCCTCTGATTCTGGAACACTTCTGAGTTCCGTTTTCGTTTCACAGAAGAATAACAGTGATAAAGCAATCAGAAGACCAAGAAGTTTACTGTCAATGCTTAGGGTCGTCTGACCTTTGCTGGCCAATAGACCTACATGGCCAAATTAATTTACTAGAGTAATAATTTTTTCAAAAGCCAATTTTCTTTTCTGTACTTTCTGTATGAAACTGCCAATATCATGAGTAGAAAGGGAGAACCGGGAAGGAGGAAGAAAGTGACGCTCGGCGGCGGTCGCGGTGTGGAGCGGTGTGGAGGCAGGCACGACCCGCCGACCCGTAGGGACCTGACGGTGTTGCTTTGGAGGGATCCATACTTGCATTTTGCATTCTTCATATGTAATCATATTGCCAAAGACAAACTTTCATCATTTATTGTAAATAACACTTTCCCCCAGACCTACCATAAAGTCTCTGTGATGTATTGTCTTCCAGTTGCAATAAAAATTACTGAGTTGCATCAATTGAAGAGAAATGTCATGTCGTTTTCGGGCACTGCATCTCCGCAGGCAGATGCTGAGCAGTGAGTGCGGTTCTGGTTCCTACCTGTGCTGGGGTTTTCAATCCGCTGGTAGGGTGTCAGCTGTACTGATCATACCCATTCTGTTACCAGCAATCGGGGGCCTGCTGCCCACCGCCGCCCTCGAGGTAAAATTCCAGAGGCAAAAGCTTGGCAATAAAAAAAGGAGTCTTTTCAAAAGCTTCACCATTTTGGAATAACAGCTTTCTGCATGCAGTAGTACTTAAGCCTATCGATTAAGGCTAAACTCTTCAACACCTGAGTTCTCCTATCCTTTCCCCCTGTTAGTTTTAATTATCATTTCTGTAGAGTGAGTTTACAAACTAAAACAACATAAGATACAAGAGCTACACAGTTTTGGAAGAACGGCAGGCTTCTGCCTCAGAGGTCGTCCGCTCTAGAACACCCAGAGAGTAGCCCTGCCGCCCTCTGCCAGGCCGGCCCACCCCTAGGCTGCACCTGGAATTCCATCCCATTCAAAATACTGTCTGGGGAACGCGGGCAGCTGCAGCATGATCATCCAGGCGTCCTTGAGGAAGAGGACCGGAGAGCCAGCTAGCCAGCCAGTCTGAGAGCCCTTCCATTTCAAATTTTCTCACCCATAAACTCGTGCTCTGGAGGCGTTCAGCTTCTCAGCCAATCCCAGCCTAGATGGTTCACTGTTGCCTCCTACAGCCCCTCTCTACTACCCAATGATCTGATCAGATGTCTGTGTCATAGTTGCTTCCCTTTGTGGGCAAATCACAAACCTTTCTGCACATAAGTGCACAGCCCAAGGCTGGGCTCCCCAGTGGCTTGAGAATTCCAGCTTTCGACAGCAAGCCTTCCACCGGGGGCCTAGACAGAACGCACCTTTCCTTTGGAAGTTGTCATATGATAAATTAAAGCTACATTCTAGGGCTGGAGCCAGCTGGCCTGTCCCAGCTCCTGAGGGTTTCTGGGGGTGACTTTCCTAACGCTCAGGTTTTCATCTTCCAGGATTTAATCCCTCACTACCAAAATACCCTCCCTGCCCAACACACACACACCGAGAGCCAGCAGGGAGCTGACGGAAGAGAGGAGTGACTGGGACAAGTAATAGGTCACAGGGTGCTGTCACCAAGCTGGAGGAGCAGAGAGATGTTCTTGCAGAGCTTTGCTGTTTCCTTTTGCGATGGCTTTGTGTTTTCATGTGCTTGGTAGATCTGCAGTGACCCCCGCAGAGCTGGCTTCAGCCACTGCTCTTCTGCTGGGCCCCCATTTACCGGCGTCATCGCCAATGCCAGGCCACGCCTCCCATGGTCGGGCTGTCACTGGAAGATCAGTGGCCACCCGGGGATTCCCTGCGTTCCAGCAGTTCTGCCATCTCTATTTCCACTGTTGGAATCACCTTCAAAACTGTGGTGTGCCCTTCTAGACAAATCTTCAATATATGAGAGCATTTGACTGGGAGGAAGAACAGAAATTCATTCAGGTCATAGCGGATAGATCAGGTCATTGGTCAAGTTTGTTAATGTGTAAGGCCACCTATAAGGCATGGCCGCCATGAAACAGCCCATAGCAAACGCTTTCTCTAAGTGATGCTGAAACATGGCAAGAGGGGAGATATCAGAGCATTGTAATATGTATCTAAGGGAACTCGGTCAAAACGATAACACCTCCAAAATTCTGATCTGACCACCAGGGTACATTGAGCATCCCACAGAAAGGAAGAAAAATCTGGCAGCGGCTCGTGGCCCGCAGGGAAGACCCTCGTGGAGGGTCTCTGGGTTACAATATGGTGTACGTGGGAAAGGAGACCAGTGAAAAAGACACAATTGAAATAACACTGCATGACAATAGAAAAAACTGCCACCAAAGTCAAATTCATTGTATTAGGTATTGCACATGATTTTCATTAATGATTCATATGCTACCCTCATGAGGCAGTTCACTTTTTTAATTCAAGAGTCATTCGTTTAGCACCAGCTCCTTCCCGGTGACTGCTGGGTGACAGTGACAAGCGAGCCAGTGTTCAAGGGGCTCAGGGAAGAGGAGCCCTGAGTTGCCCCTGGAGGCACATGTTCAGGTGCTTAAATGGCTCCCCAGAAGGGGATGGGGCCGGTCTTTCTTGAGCAGAGCTCCCCGAGGGTTAAGCAATGGTAATCTTGTGACAGTAAGTTCAGAGTATTGCCAGGTGACTGATTGGAAAGGACAGCACTCGCTGTGTCTCTAGCTGTCGCTCTGTGTGTTCAATTACTGGATGTTCACGTGCCTCCCCCTCCCGCTTCTCGCCCTCATCCAAATGGCCCCACAGCCACCTGCCTCCTCCTCCCTCAATTCATACTCCAACTCTTTCCCTGAAAAAAAGAAAACAAAGCAATGACCAGTGTCTTCATTTTATTAAAAGCAGTTTGGCATAACACAAAAAAAAGAAATCAAAGGTACTACTAATAAGCTCACACTCATAAACTGCCATGGCTTCAACCTCAGCACTTGCGGTACTGTGCCAGCCGTGCATTTGGTTGGCAAGCCATGCATTGGATGTTCTGGGTTTCCTTTGAGCCAAACACAAGCTTCTGGACTCTGCCATGAAGATGTAATTGTTTGCTGGAGAGATGACTCATTTGCATATTTAAATACTCCACATGCCCTCTCCTAGGTAGGTAGGTAATCCAGATGTGAGCTCTCCCTATACATTTTTAATTTTTCCTGGACAAATGAAAATGGGGCCCTAGCCATTGTGGTAGTTGGTGGGAGCACCCTCCTGTAAACCAAAAGGTCGCAGGTTTGATTCCATGTCAGGGCACATGTCTAGGTTGCAGGTCTCGTCCCCAGTCAGGGCGCATGTGAGAAGCAACCTATTGATGTTTCTCTCTCTCACATCGATGCTCCTCTTCCTCTCTCCCTCCCTCCCTTCCCCTCTCTCTGAAATCAATAAGCATGTCCTCAGGTGAAGATTAAAAACAGAAAAGAAAATGGGTTAGTTGTTGAAAGGAGCAGACAACAATGTCTTCAAAAGTTGTATGACTTCTCAGGGCGGTGAACCCCGCCCCCGCCCCCCAGGAATCCCAGGTATGTGTTGGGGTGTGCTGGTGGGATGGGTGGAGGTGAGGGTGCTGCCGCCCCTGACCTGTTTCTCCTCCTCTTGACTGCTCTGCCTGATGAAGGAGCAGCGTTCTTTATTCAATCTTCTAGGAAGTTCTGAACAAATGGCAGCGATTTCAGAGGGAATTGGCGTGAGGGAATAGGAGGTTTCTATGAGCTGAAAGCTCAGGTCCCACACTGCTTCCCAGGTCCCCTGGGAATTAATGGTCCTACACGGGCATAAACCTAAGTGTACCTGGACCGTTCTCTTCCTTAGGACACAAAACCAGGGCTTCGGGAACTGGGTAAGGACACTTTTTTTTTTAAGAACTCAAATCTAAGTGAATAAATTCATTTATTAAATGTTCACCTCTTCCCTTTGTTTTGTGTGAATGAATAAACCTCCTCAGAACAGTGCCTTTAAATAATGCTCTTAGCAGCAGTATCTTGATTTGCGATCAGTCCTGGGCATTTGGGGATAAAGGACCCTGATGACTAGAGAACTCTTTCATGTTACTCCACGACAAAGTGCTTATGGAGCAGACAGCCAAATCCTCTTCAAAATACAGCAGTTTATGTGAGAGGGATCAAGGAATTCTACTTCTTTTTATCTCTTAGTCATTGCAAAACTGATTGCTAAAGGTCTCTAATATGGAAGAACCTCAGCGTGAAGGGGAAAGTCCAGAAACAAGACACTGGCTGCTTCCTTAGTTCCTCGGACATCGGCTTCTTTAATAAAAGGGTCGTCCATTCACGCCCTAACACTGGAAGGGACATTAGAGACCATTGAATCCCAGCTCCCCATGTTACAGACCAGGCAGCTGAGCTACAGAAAAGTTAAGGGATTTTCCCAGGATGACCCAGCTAGCTAGTGGCAGAGCTGGGCGTAAAAAGAGGAAGTTTTCCATTTTTTTTGTCATATCCACCCATTTATATGTAATTATAACAATCACATCTATAGAATTGTGTAGCTGGCAATCCTCCACATATACACACTTAACCTTATGTCCTGTGCATTTTCCATATAGCTACAGTGAAAATGACTATCTTTTAAAATGTTAAAATGATAAAATGATATGTAACATTCTTTCCAGTGGTGACCTGTTATCTTCAATGGTTACCTCACTTCCCACTGTTTAAATTGCTTCCAGGTTCTCTTGGGTGTAAGTTATACCACGGTAAACATCAGGCATGCGGCTGCATATTTTCCGTTTGTCCTCTGGTCGATAGCCTGTCAGACCATTGGAACAGAGGTATCAACAGTGTTCCAGGTCTTCGCGGTCAGGCTTTCCGAAGGGCATCAATGCCGACAGCCTGCGAGACAACCCCAACCTCACTGCACACTTGCCGGTACTGGAATTTATTTTTCTCTTCCGTTTTTGCTAGCAGACAAAAAGAATGTTTTATTGCTGTTTAAGTTTTTATTTAATGAGTAGCAAAGTTACATTATTTTCCATATATTTACTGGCCATTTATTTTTCCCTTTTCTGAATCAACTATAATGGACTCTCCAAGAGTTCAAAAGAGAAGGAAATGAGATTTTTAGTCTCCTCTCTACAAGGTTTCTGAGGCGCCGGGATGACCAAACGCATCACCTGACCTCCCATTGTCCTTTCATCTTCAGACCCTCTAATTGTCCCTATACTGAGACAAAATCCCAATTCCTAAAACTTTGATCTGAAGGCCCTTGGACTAGCCTGGAAAGCCACAAAAATGCAAACCTAAATCATCTTGCACGTGGCAACCACTTTTATGTTTGAAAACAAGAATAATTTCCTCCCTGCATCTTTTCTAGAATACGCATTCCCAGCTCCATCTGTGGACACATTCCTCTCCTTAGACCTGGTTCGTGCTTAGAACCGAGAGCTGAAAACAGATACAGTCTGACGACGAGCAACTCTCACTTCCTC